CACAATAAGCTCCCTCTATGTAAACCACAATTCAAATCCATCAGATTTTGGGGGGTATGCGTCTTAGTTCTGGCACTTATTGATGGTTCTTAAGTTTAGCTAAGCTGTCAGAGTCATACAGTGATCCATTTCTCCTCTTTTGAAATAAAACATTAATCAAGTATCTAGCGACTGCAAGGGATCTACTTGTATCTTCGTCGTTTAATAAGTATATTATTTGGGCTTCCTGAGGTCCGTCAGCAATTCTCGATAAATATGGGGCCAGAAACTTGGACCGTGAAGCCGAATGTAATGGACAACAGAAGATTATATGATATAACGATTCTATAGCTCCACTTTTACAGTCACAGAGGAGTGAGATCTGTCCCTGTTGGAGAGTCTGTTACCCAACACGTTTGATGGGAAAACATTGAATCTAGCCTTTATAAAGGCATACCTGTGCGTCACCACAGATAAGGTAGTTAAATAAGATGGAAGTTTCATTGGTGGTGTTAAGCCAAGGTTTATCGGCGAACAGGTGCCACCACCTGTCGCAATATTAAATTGTAAATCCATCTCCTCTAATTTGTGAGTTATAATTCTCTTGGCAGAAATTAAATCCAATTTTAATAGTTCAGATGGAGATAGTCCTAGGGACACAAGTTTCCCCTGTATTATTTTTGCCCAGGGGCTAGGGAAGTCATCTCTCCAGAGACACTGTATCAAGTGGAGATTTGGAAGTTTATGCCATAATGCCAACCAGTAACAGAGGATGCATTTCCATAATGTGGTTTCTAGAGATGTAACATTTAGTTCCAGTCGTATAGCAGTATTGCTTACACACCTGGGTAATTTTAGCAACCTTCTTAGAAGCTGGTTTTGGATTACCTCCAAATGGGTTAGATTAACAAAGGACCCCCATATTGGGATTGCATATGCTATTGTTGCAATCACCTTTGCCTTGAAAACTTTTAACACTGATTGAATATGGAAAGCCCCATCTGAAAAGAAAAAACGCAATAGCGCAAAGGAAAGGGCTTTAGCTCTATTTAATACATATGCAAGATGGGCTTTAGCTCTGTTTAATACATATGCAAGATGGACCTTCCAGCCCCTGTTGTGTTGGAGAAAGACTCCCAAGTACAGTGGTACCTCGCAAGACGAACGCCTCGCAAGACGGAAAACCCGCTAGACGAAAGGGTTTTCCGTTTTGGAGGCGCTTCGCAAAACGAATTTCCCTATGGGCTTGCTTCGCAAGACGACAGCCCATAGGGAAATCTCCGGGACAGCGGGGAAGCGCAGTGCGTCTTCCCCGCTGTCCTTGGACCTCCTCCGAAGCCTGGCGGCGAGGCGGGGACACCTCCTCCCACCGCCGCCGGGCTTTGGAATGATGCCCCGATGCCGGGCGGGGGGGGGGACGCCTCTGCTGCCGCCCGCCATCGGGACGATGCCCCGATCCCGGGCGGCGGGGGGGGGAAACGCCTCCGCCGCCGCCCGCCATCGGGACGATGCCCCGATCCCGGGCGGGGGGGGGACGCCTCCTCCGCCGCCCGCCATCGGGACGATGCCCCGATGCTGGGAGGCGGGGCAGGAAGCCTGGGCGCGCTGATCTCAGCGCACGCAGGCTTCGGCATGCTGGCACCTGTCCGCAAGCAGCGGCAGCGCTGCCACTGCTTGCGGAGAGGTCCGCGAAGCCTGGGCCGGACAGCTTTTGAAGGCAGGCGGGGGGAGCAAAGACTTTCGCCCCCCGCCAGCCTTCAGAAGAGGTCCAGGACCTCTTCTGAAGGCCAGTGGGGGGCAAAAGTCTTTGCTCCCCCCTGCCTGCCTTCCCGGGAGAGCGGAGAAATGCAGCGCGGAGGGCTTTTGAAGGCAGGCGGGGGGGGGGAGCAAAGACTTTCGCCCCACACCAGCCTTCAGAAGAGGTCCAGGACCTCTTCTGAAGGCTGGCGGGGGCGAAAGTCTTTGTCCCCCCTGCCTGCCTTCCCAGTCCTCCGCTGTCCCGGGCGATTTTAAAATGCCGCCCGTCAGCATTTTAAGATCGCCCCGGACAGTGGAGACGTCCTCCGCTGTCCCAGGGTTTTTTAAAATGCTGAGGGTGGGAAGAAAAGCCCTTGTCTCCCCCCCCCCAGCCTTCAGAAGAGGTCGGGGGACAGACTGTCCCCGGACCTGGTCTGAAGGCGGTTTCCCTAGGAACGCATTAATTGATTTTCAATGCATTCCTATGGGAAACCGTGCATCGCAAGACGAAAAACTCGCAAGACGAAGAGACTTGCGGAACGAATTAATTTCGTCTTGCGAGGCACCACTGTACTGAAATTTAAAGACTTGGTCAATAGCTTTTCCGTCTATTCTCCAATTATAGGTTTTTCGACTCTTGGTGAAAATTAGGACTTTGGACTTAACATGGTTAATTGTAAGAAAATTTGATTTGCAGTAAACATCGAAAATTTTTAATGCCCTCCTAAGGCCGACTCTTGAGAAGGATAGGATCACTGCATCTGCGTAGAGTAGAAGGGGGCAACGATATTGGGCAAGACGGGGGGCATGGATCGTTTCTTGAGAAATCTATCAGAGGCGCCCTCATATCACTTATAAATAGATTTAAAAGGGTCGGAGCAAGGATACATCCTTGACGAACACCTATATTGATAGTTACTGAATTTGAGAGGTCGCCGGCCGGAGTGATTCTCAACCTAGCAGCCGATCCGTCATGCAATTTAGTTATGAGCCACAAAAGTCTTTTGTCTATTCCCCATCGGGCTAATTTTCCCCAAAGTAATCCTCTGGGGATGCTGTCAAAAGCGGCCTTTAAATCAATAAAGGCCGCACAAAGTTGGCCTCTATTTGGGGAGGAATATTTCCGGGCAAGGTGGTATAAAACTAAGACATGATCAACTGCTGACTGATTCGATCTAAAACCAGCCTGTTCAGGCCCAATCAGGTTGTTCTCTTCGGCCCACTTAGTAAGCTTAGTTAACAAGAACCGAGCATATATTTTCCCAATTAATGACAATAAACTGATATTTCTGTAATTTCCTGGATCATCTCTCGAGCCCTTTTTATGAATTGGAACAATAATCGCATCCTTCCATATTCTTGGAACCTTCCCACTGTTGTTTATGGCATCAAAAGTAGCGGCCAGGATTTTCGCCCACCAGTCTGCATGAAGTTTTATAGCTTCCGCCGGGACTAGGTCAGGACCGGGGGCTTTTCCGATTTTAAGATTAGAAATGAGTCCGTGGATTTCTTCCGGGTCAGTGGGTGGCCAAAGAGGGAGCTGTTCATAGAATCCATCGATTGTATTAATATTAAGGTCTGGTAAGGCAAAATAGTTCCTTAGAAAGGATTCCCAAACTGGGGCAGGAATAACTGTTAAGGGGTATCTTTTAGATTTTCTGTTAACCAACACGCAAAGGGGATGATGAGCTCCTTTGTTGCCCCTTTGCTGGCTGCCCCTCCCTCTTGGCCGACTGGCTTTTTAAAGTTGCCTCAGCAGCTGGTGTTCACCTAAGCTGGGGCAGTGGGTACTCCCACTATTGCCTGCCTGGCCCCAAGTTCCTAGTCCCCTGCACTACATTTAGTGCTTGCCATCCCGATCTTTACTGTAAAGGTCTATTTGAGTTTCCCCTCCCGGATTGCCATTTGCTTTGATTCAGCTTTAAAGAGCGGGTTTAATAACTGCGTCTTTATGCAGATCTAGGAAAGACTCCCTCCTGCCCCTCTCACCCTTGAGTTCTTCTTGCTTCTCTTGACAGCAAAGGATTAGGCGAGTTGTCCTTGTCTAGTTACTTGCAGTTACTGCCTTGTTCTGAGATCCAATAGCCTGTACGCTCCGCTCTTCAGTAGGGTTGTGGAGCAGGAAGGCCGAGCCCAGTGGAGGACAAATGGTGTGGAGAAAGCATTGGCTGCTCCTTGGAAGAAGAACAGCCATCGTTTATGCCTGCTCAGTTTTGGCCCAGCAAGGATGTTTCCTTTGCTGTAATTAGCCCCCCCAGCAGTGCACTAGGCAGGAAAGGTGTGTAGGTGAGAGGATGAACTGCTCCTTCGTAACCCCTTGCTGATGCTGCCCCAGCCCCCCAGAGATAAAGGGGGGCGTGCAAACAGGCATTACACAAATGTAATTCTGAACAGACATTCTTGGAAGCTGGACACATCGGTGGGGGAGCATCTCCCAAGAATGAAAACACGCTTATGAGGTTGTAAAGTGTTCAAATGGCCAAGGACAAAGAAAACCTTTTTAGGCTGAATTGTGCCATTTTAGATCGTTGTTAAAAACAAACATTTTTTGTTCAGTTTACAGATTCAGCATGTGCAAAGAGACCTAAAGAACATTGCATTATGGAGTAATCTCCATAACTGTGTTAAATCAGCACAAGTACACTGGCCAAAGGGCCTACCTTACAAAAAAATAAGCTAACCTTAGTCTTGAAATGTATGTGAATATATATGAGCTGTATGTGGCTGTGGCTCACTAAATATATATCAAACAGGTTTCTGCAGTATCAGGCTTTCAGGAATTCCAACCTCAAAATACAGCTGCACCAACTTCACTTCACAACTCAGGTGGGCTCTCTCTGCTGCAGGAACTTGGATATATCATTATTGATTGATTGAATTTATATACTGCCCTATACCAGGAGATCTCGGGGCAGTTCACATAAAAAGACCACAGTATATAAAATGAAAATAAAAGCAATAACCCAATAATACCCCCTTCAAAAGAGCCACATTTTAAAAGGGTATAGCATCTGCAAGACAAATCATATTTTTTTACACACAAAAAAAAACCACAAGAGAAACTGGAGCAGCATAGTTGGCACTCCTAAACATACCCAATGGTTTTAATAACTTACTCCCAGGTAAGCATGTATATAGGCACTGCAGCCCAGGTATGTATCCTGCAAACTAGCCTCTCCTTAGCAGGCAACCCTCCTCCCCAAGAATCAAACCCGTTGCTGGAGTTTGGACTGCAAAGCTGGCAGCTGTAACAGGAACAATTACAAACGTACAACGGAGAGCAATCCAGTGCATTGCAAATTTTATTTTTTGAAGAGCCTTTCAAAGATTTAACCCCAGAGGCAATTTGTTTTAAGGCCAGCAATTCAGCAAATATTCCAGCCTTCCAAAGACGGCTGTTAAACTGAAGACTGACGAGTAAGTCTTTTCCTTACGCCATCCCATGCTTTTGAGGCTGTTGCCAGCAGGTGCTGTGCTGATCATGACATCCTTGCATCAGCAGAGGCTCCCAAGGGATGCAGTTTGGGGACAAGGCAGGTGGCAAAGACATCCTCCTGCCAGCAGGTAAACAAGGGGGGGGAGGTGTAGCTTCTGGAAACCAGGCAACCAGAACCTTTTGTTTTGCCTGTGAGGGGGGGAAAGGTACAAACGGGGGAGGATGCTTCCCTCCGTGATGGGTGGGGTGTGCAGAGAGCCTGCTTTCTCTCACCAGGTGCCAAAAAAAGGAAAGCGTTTAAGTTCTGAGGCAGTCTTCCTCCAGGAGGTGCCAGATTCAGGCATCAGTTTCTCCGATGGGAGAGGCGGAGGGATGAGCGAAGAAGGAAAAGGGAGTCTTGTCAGATCCAACTCTCCTTTTGTTACGCTGCTGGGAGATTTCATCAGGCTATGTCAGGCGCATCCCCTCTGCCACCATCTCCGACTCGTGCCCTCTTCGCACCACTCTGCATCAGCTCCTCTCCTTCCGGGGAGGAAATGGTGATTCCTGCAGGCTCCCCATCTTCGCAGCTGCCGTCTCCTCCTCCTCCTCCTCCCCCCGCCTCTCCAGGCTTGACTTCCTGTTCTTGGAAGGGCTGCAGCTTCAGAGCCTGGCGGAAGAGGCTGCGGTTCTCCCTGCGCAGGCGCCGGTTCTCCAGCCTGAGGCGCGCGTTCTCTTCCCGCAGCCGCCCGCTCTGGCGCTCACGCTCCTCCCCGAGCCTCAGCGCCTCGGCGTGGCTGGCGGCCAGGTCGGCGTACCTCTCTGCCAGCTGCTGCGGAGAGCCGCCCGCCCGGCCTCGCCAGCCGACGCAGCAGCACTCGCCTTCCTTGCCTTGGCCCCTCCGAGCAGAGATGCTACTGCGGCAGCCAGCGCCCCGAGCCCCGCAGAAGCAGCAGCCCCTCCAGTGGCGGCTGGTGCTGCGCATGCGTCTCATCCGTGGTCCTCAGCACCTCTCTGCGCCTCGAGAGGAAAAGGGGAGAAAGCAGCTCTGTCCGGCTCTATGTAACGGAGGAGGGTGGAGCTTGCTGGAGCACATGGGCAGGGCTTGGAGCCTCAGACGCCTGTTCCTCCCCCCTCCTTGCAGCTTCTGCTGCTGAGGGCCTCAGATGCACGCTGAGGAATCATAGAATTCACCGAGTTGCCACCTGTCCTGTATAATGCAGCATTGCGTGCTGAGGTCCCCAAGCCACCCCTAATAAATTCACACTTGCCACCATAATTTTGTTTAAGGTTTTTGGCATAATTTTGGCCACAACTTTATTAAAATGCAAAATGTGAGTGGTTGCTTAGGCATTGGTTGCGACTCTTTGTTCCCGCCCAGTGGCAGAACTGACATTATTATTATTATTATTATTATTATTACTATTATCAATAAATTTTATTTATATCCCTTTCTCCCCAGCCGAAGCTAGGGTCAGAGCGGCTAACATCAAATGTATAACACATTAACATAAAATCAGACAATCAATTAAAATATATCCTCAAATCAGATCAGGATCAGAATAAAATCCAATCAGATGGCAACCCGCAGATTAGGCTTGGGGACCGTAAATGCAAGCCTGCAAAGTCAGTAAGGGAAAACATTTTATGGGGAGTAAATGGAGCTGGGTGCCAGACCCTCACCTCTCCCCAGATGCTCCCAGGGGCTCTTGCGTGGCCCTAGCCCCTTGACGGGTTTGGACAAAAGCATGGTGAGCCCCTGGATTCCTTTAGCGGAATACGCTTGAAGCAGCAGCATTTGGAGGGGCAGGCACAGCCAATCCGTACCCCTCCACCAACCAATTTTCTAAAACTAATGCCTAACCGCAGCCTTACAAGTTGTGACAATATGCTACGCAAAAACCAAATGGCATCAGCCAAATGGACAAAATTCCTACCAGGCCCCTGACCCAAAAGCAGACGACCCCATGACAGGCATAGCAAGGTAAAACGCAAAAAATGTCCTAAAATTAGGGCAGGTGGGCAGGTGATCCAATGTGCACAGTGAAAAGAGGAAGCTCAACGCTGCGCACTGGGAATATATAAACTAAGGCTGTCAGCCAAAATTGGCAACTGCCAACTCTCCCCAGCAACCAGAGGAGCCCAATCACAACGGTGGCCATCCAAACTAACTCTCCCAGTAACAGAGGGGTGTCTGGTTAACCCCACTGCAACCCGTGCTCTCCACTCTTTGTCAGTCTTTTGCCTCAAGAGCTGCTTTGGTTCATGGTGCCATTGTGAGCCTGCTCTGCCTCTAACAGGATGATTCCCTCACAGTTCTCTTCCCCTGCCACCAGGAACAGCAATACAAGCAACCGTGGCTTCAGCATGGCCTCTGCAGACAATCCTCTGCATCAGGCATTGGCAAACTCTGCTCTCCAGATGTTTGGGGACTACAACTCCCATCATCTCTAGCTAATACAACCAGTGGTCAGGGATGATGGGCCAGGAAGCAGATTGCATCCATGAAAGCCTGCAGGTCCATCCTTGCATCTCGTTGATAATAATAATAATAATAATAATAATAATAATAATAATAATAATAATTTATTATTTGTACCCCGCCCATCTGGCTGGGTCTGCCCAGCCACTCTGGGCAGCTTCCAACAAAGATTAAAAATACATGACAATGTCACACATTAAAAATTTCCCTGAACAGGGCTGCCTTCAGATGTCTTCTAAATGTCAGGTAGTTGTTTATCTCTTTGACATCTGATGGGAGGGCGTTCCACAGGGTGGGCGCCACCACCGAGAAGGCCCTCTGCCTGGTTCCCTGTAGCTTTGCTTCTCGCAGTGAGGGAACTGCCAGAAGGCCCTCAGAGCCTGACCTCAGCGTCCGGGCAGAACGATGGGGGTGGAGACGCTCCTTCGGGTATACTCGTTGATCTGTTGTGAGGCCATGCTGCTTCTTGGCGATGTCAAATGTAGAGCAGGCAATAGGCAAACTTGGTCCTCCAGATGTTTTGAGACTACAAGTCCCTCTTCATACATGAGCAGGTGGAGCTCCTGGTAGACTTTTCTGCGAGTGCAACTTGGCTGCCCTGGACGAGAAGCGTGCAAGTGGTGACCAGCTTGGGCTTCGCAGAACTTGCCCAAGATGTTTCTCATAGCATAGACAAGAAGGTGCTGTTAGAATCTCAGTAGGTTGGTAAGTTTAAAAGCAGAGAAGTAAAAAAGGAAAAATTACTTCCCTGGGTGGAATCAACGCTAATTACAGTCCTGTTATCTGTGGAGCTCCAAAGCCTGCTTGCTAAGCCGTCGCCACCTTGGAGCCTCCTTTCCCTCGGCCAGCTTGTGGCCCCGGTGACTTGCCAGCAGAACAGACTCCACCAATACAATATGAAGTAAGGTTAAGGGAGAGAGCTCACCTGGTAGAGCATGAGACTTAAATCTCAGGGCTGTGGGTTCGAGACTCCTGCATTGCAGGGGTGGGCTGGATGACCCTTCTGTTGGGTTCGTTTTTGCTAAATACAGGACAGGGTGGGGCAGTGCTGTTGGGGGGGAGTTTAGTTTTTTTATCTGGTGCTCAAGGCACTCCCATTACAATCCCTCGCAGAATGGTCTCTCAAATTTGATTCTGTCTCTGCTTGGCTACCCAGAGCTTTTTAAAAAAGTGACCTTTCACATTCCCTTTCAAACACATGCATTTGGAGAGGATCCCTAACTTGGCAGGGAGATGGGGGGGGGAGAACCTACATTCCAGTGGGGTGGTCCTTCGAGGTCTCTTCCAACTCTACAGTTCTATGAAATACAGGACAAAATTATCAACATAGGATGTAGCATTTCGCATTGAAATAATGGGACAATGCTGCATTTGGGGGGGGGGCACATTTCCAAAGCCCACCCCTCCCAAAATTAAAGGGCAGCCAGTTCCCCACCCCCCATTCCAGGCAAACTGACAAATTTTTGGAGAGACAAAGCTAAGGCTGGACTCTCCCTCCTCCAGTTCCTTTTTTAGAAATTTTTAGAAAATCTTGTATTAATTTTCACATAGACAAATATACATGAGTTACATAACATATAAAACAGAAAACAATACAAATGAATAGAAACAATGAAATAAGAAAAGATAAACATAAACAAATACAATATATTACGCTTACATGACAGATTAAAATATATAACTTCTAATAATTCTCATTATACTACTTATATTATCTGTATTCCTTGCACAGATTCATATTATTTTGTTTTGTGTGTGTGTGTGTGTGTGTGTGTATATATATATATATATATATATATTCCACTTATATTTTATTTCTGCAAGTATCTTATTGTTCATATAGTACATTTTAAAGTATTTAAATATTTTCCATTCCCTATATACCTTCTGGTTTGACACTCCTCTAATTTTTCCAGTTAATTTTGCAAGTTGCAGATATTCTATTATAAGAGTTTGCCACTCTGTAATCATTGATAAGATTACATTCTTCCAATTTCTTGCCACTGTTGTTCTGGCTGCCATAATTGCATACATAAACAATGGTCTTATATATATATTTTATTTCTATTGATAATATCTTTCAGTTCCAACCCAACCCCCAGACAGGATCTTCAGCAATATAAGCCAGTTAGAACCTAACCCGATGCAGGTTTACTGAGAAGTAAGCATAGGGGATTGTGGACGCAGAGGTTTTTAATCTTATTTAGACAACATTTAATAGCTGTTTATTTTGTACTGGATCACTTTTGCCACCAAGAGTAGGATGATTTACAGCCCTCAAACACATCCACATGTTCTGTAATGGTGTTTAGCAACCAGGTGTAATGGGAATTGCAAGCCTTGGGCCTTCAATATGTAAAGTCAAAAGACATAGCAGTAAAGGAAAAGGGGACTGGGAGGGAGAAGGAAAAAAGCAAGTTCTGGTCTGGTTTCCTCCCCACCCCTTATTTAATTTTTGGTATTAATATAAAATACTAAGAAACTGATGCAAAGAAAAATGAAAAGGTACAACAATGTATAGATAGACAGAAACAATATATACAATACACAAAGAAATACCCTAACCCATACATTCTTATGAATTTGATTTTATCCTACATAATTATAGCCTACTACATTTTGTATATAGGGACGCGGGTGGCGCTGTGAGTAAAACCTCAGTGCCCAGGACTTGCTGATCGTAAGGTTGGCGGTTCGAATCCCCGCGGTGGGGTGAGCTCCCGTCTATCGGTCCCAGCTCCTGCCTACCTAGCAGTTCGAAAGAACCCTTAAGTGCAAGTAGATAAATAGGTACAGCTTTATAGCGGGAAGGTAAACGGCGTTTCCGTGTGCTGCGCTGGTGCTGGCTCGCCAGAGCAGCTTCGTCACGCTGGCCACGTGACCTGGAAGTGTCTTCGGACAGCGCCAGCTCCCGGCCTCTTGAGCGAGATGAGCGCACAACCCTAGAGTCTGTCATGACTGGCCTGTACGGGCAGGGGTACCTTTACCTTTACATTTTGGATAAACACATTCCAAATATTGTCATATTTATGCAAAGTCTACGTCTGTAAGCAGTCTGTTCATAAGTTGCAAGTGTTACGTACGTTATCAATCCATTTTTTAAAAGTTTTAGAGGTATGCGTCCCCCACATAAAAAAAGCGCCAGTATTACTCCAAAACAAAGTGGTGCTATGAGCCATCAAACCTCGGAAATACATGTTTTCCAGAAGGTTCCACAATTTTGGCCTCTAGTGTACACTGGAGGGCTGTACTAAGAGCCACCATCTCCCAATTTTTAATATGAGATAATAATCATTGTCTTCATGCGCACACTCAAATAAATATAAATCCAGCCAGATGAGCAGGGTGTAAATAGTATAATTTTAATTATTTTTATTATACTTTGCCGTTACTTTGGCCGCTGTTTAATTGCAGCCCCCACAGAATGATTTTCTCTCTTGGCTTCCACGGGAAAGCCCAGCGAACATGTAAATCCAGCAGCCATCTTTGTATGCTTGCTGACCTGGGAGTTAAGCCCTGCTGAACTCAAGGCAGCTTACTCCAGAGTAGGAAAAACAGACTGGCAGGGGTGTTGCGCAGCAAAGTTAAAAACACA